GTTTTATCTTCGCTTAGTTTATGCAAATGATCGATACGGTTTTAAGTTTCGTTTCTGTGAGAGTTGCGCATTAAACACATTATAATGTCAAACGGGCTGATGTGGCTCTAGAGTCGTTACGGTTTATATGTCGTAAAGTTGAATTTATTTATGCAGATTAGTAGTGCAGATAGTAATAATAATGATGATCATTTTAATATAAAAACATTAATGATTAATCGATAATCGATCGTTAATTCTTCCGACGATCGATTAAGAAAATTTCATCGAATGCCCATCCCTAGTTCAGAAATTGACAAAATTGATGATCCTTTGTAACAGCGTGACCTTTCAATTGACCCGTGTGACCTCAAATGACCTCGGATCATTACCAAACTTTTTTTTTTTTTGTGGCATCAGGCATGGGGGCTTGACCCACGTACCAAATTTGGTGACAATCGGTCCTTAAAGGGTAGAATTATCACGGGTGGACAGACACACAGACACACAGGGTGAATACAAAACCTGGTCAACCCTTCGGAGACCAGGTAATTATCCAACGTAATCACAATTCTATATAAATATAGATATATCCTGAATAAAAACTGTCTTTTTATTATATACAACTCACTGGTAATGCCCTACATAACCTGCTGTATTGAGATTGGGGCAACACATATAAGACTAATACAAATGAAATCTTTATCAACTTCTAATGAACCCCAACCAATGCCATATTTATAAAACTTCAAAATCTGAAATTTCAAAGTAAACAACAATCTCTTGCCAGAAACTTTACAGAATATGTTCAAAATCCAAAATATCCAATATGAGCTCAGAGGCACGGCCATGTTTATTAAAAGAAAATCAGAACAAACATTATGAATTTTTGAATCTAAAACTGTGCACCACTCACTTCCATTTTGAAAAGAAGTTTAAATGTTTAACTCTGGGCTGATACATGAATTATGATGCTTAGTTTGTGCTATAAAACTTTGGAATATTGTGACTGATTTGTTTGTTTTCTCTTGCTGTATTTGTGAAGATGAACTGGTGTCAAGATGACGCGCTGACAAAGGAATAAAGGAGTAAAGGCAGAATAAGCTCAAACTTCAGCCAGTCTGTGGAATAATGTCAGAATATATCTGTGACTGAAAAAAAAAAAAGAAAAAAAAATGCACTTTATTCACACACGGGTGTACACAGACGCTGAAGCGAGATGGGTTTAAGTGTCTTTCCCAAGCACACAAAAGCAGCATTCATGTGTAGGAGCTGGAATCGCACCGCCAACCTGTGAGTCAGTGGATCAGACAGCTCAAACAATGATATTTTACGTCAAAACCGGGATTCTAACCACCAATCTTTTCAATACAGTATAATATAGTGACAGAGACATGCACAACCAGCTTCAAAGGACTAGTGTGAGTGTGATTTACAGTGAAAAGAAAAAATAAAACAGTAATGTAGCCTTTATGATGAAGTTATTTTATGTAGAAATGAATCAAAACCATCTGATTCTCGAAATTAGAATGGATCATACATCAATTCGACATCTCCTAATACTGATTCCTCAATTAGCTCTGTAGTGAGAACTAACTTAAAGGGCCCATCTCATGCAAAATCAGCTTTTCAGAGCTTTCTACCTTCTAAGAGTGATTGTGGGCCTTGTATTTGTCGCCGTTTTTTATTTTTCTGCTCTGACAATTCCCACATGAACACCTAAACAAAAGCGACAGCATAAGCTCATTGTTCTACACTGCAGTGAACACGATATAATAAGTTAATCTACTAGTGTTTATTAATACTTTACCAATCAGTAATGTTCAGCTGATGTGGACGCGGTGCTTGAGCTTCGTGCTCCTCAAAGTCCTCGTCCGATTCTGGGTCCAACACATGCGGCTGAACGCGCTGTATCTCCATGATGAATAAAAGTTTATTCTACCACTATCAGGGTGCACACCTGTCTCCCCCTCCCTCCCTGAGATGGTGGAGGAAGGGCGGCTCACTCAGAGCCTATGTCACGTTTGGAGGGCGGAGCCTGTGTTTTCTCAGGACGGGCGGGGGGATGAGCGATAGTCGGACTTTCATAGTTCCTGGTCTGTGATGCCTCCAAGAAATCAATAAGATTTCATAACTGTTGTGCAATGGATGTTCCGAAACCTAAATTGTGCTTGTTTATGTGCAGAAGATACAATGTGAAAAGAGTTATTTTGCATCAGACGCGCCCTTTAATCCCTATTCACATGGGATAAGCAAAGTCTGTAAATTACTTATTTTACTGACACTGACGCAGAGATCATAAGAGAAAAGAATGCGGAAAATGTGCAAAAATTACAACAACCAACACTGAGATGCAGACATGGTGCATTCACACGGGATTAAGATTTCACACGTCCTCTGCAATTATTACAAATCACTAAAGGTCCACAGGTAAAACTAGTCCCATGTGAATAGGGCTTAAGTTAATATGGACACACTTAAGAGGTTTAACTTCTATTTCTTTTAAACACTGGAAGCAATGACGTATAATGAAAACTTAAGCCAGTGTAATATGATCAAACAATTATTATGGTGATAATAATGTTTATGTAGGGAAAGGTGCCTGTTCAGGGCCTGCTCCCCCATTCTGACAGAATCCACAAACCAGGAACCTAGAGAAGTCGGTTCTGTCTGACTGCCTCTTGGTATTTACAACGCCAAGAGAACCGATCTTCGGTGCTTTCACACCTCTCTTCCCCCACGCAAAGTGGGACATGAATCAGAATGGGAAATTAACATGGCTCTGCTAAAGTGATAAGGACTGTTAAATAATGACACTCCTCATTCTGCTTTGAAGAAACAGACCCACATCATCTACATACCAGACCATCAGGCGCCAATGCTTGGACCGGTTAAAACCCGCGATGGACTGTGGTTGCCACCTTTTGGACTAACGAAGGACTGGATTAAACGCATCTTGATAACTAGTTAAAAATGTTTAACTGTGTTCTATATAAGACTCATGTTGATGCAAGATAAGTTCGCCACATTGCTTAATTCATGTGTTCATGGTCTCTTGTGTGTATTTCATGTCATGTTCCCACGGAGGTATTTGCGGTAACTTCACGGTGTGTTTCGGACAGACACACCTTTGATTTCCCTGTATGAATCGTCAGCTAATGTTATCGTAAACAGTTATGAAGAACCTGAATGTGGGAAGTTATCAAATTAATATTTACAAATGATATTTGTACGGGGACCAGTTCAGCTCAGACGCGGGCGTGCCTTAAATTTGCATATAACAACGCCCACCAAGCGCACTGACCAAAACGAAGCCTCACGCGCGAAAACTGCGCTTTCGCTTCGCCTCGCTTTTCGCCTTGCCTTGCCGCCGCGAGGAGGACCAGGGAAGACGGCCGGTCGGAGGGACCCAGGGGGAGCTGTAACAGACCTGGAGTCGCACTTGCTGAGAGCTGAGGACCAGAGCCGGTGAAGGAGGCGTGGACCGCCCTACCCGAGTACCATCATCACGCCGCTGCCTGCCCGTGAACCCCGCCATCACCGCATTCCACACGGACCGAGAACAACATCGCCAAGTAAGGCTGGTTCTGAACAGTGAATGAATGAGGGTTGGCATCCCTCTTACGATTGCGTCCAATTATTTATTGTTTATTGTTATATTTATTGTTGCGTAATCTGAACTTGGAAGCTGGTGTCTAGTTATTGTTTGTTAATAAACCACACAAAGGAATTTGCTGGTTTCAGTGATTTTTCTTAAAGTTATCATCAGGTCACTTTTTCGGGTACGTTCCCTTCAGATTGATTAAATTGATAAGTTGTTGTGTCGCATATGGTTAAGTTTGATTCGGTCAGAATCTGGTGCCCCACATATGTATAAATTCAATAATTCGTCAAAAGCTAAACCACATGCTCAAACACGCACATCTTACAACACGTTAAGTCGCATTTCTCCTACATTTAGCATTTAAGAACCAGGTTTGATGACATGTTTAATTAGTTTCAATGGAAGCTACGGTGCATCCCTAATTTCAAGTACTGTATTTTTCAGACTATAAGTTGCATTTTTTTCATGGTTTATGTGTTTCCTGCGACTTATACTCCGGTGCGACTTATATATTAACATTTTCAGATTGACAGCCGCAAGAGGGCGCTCTAGTCTTGTGTGTCTTGACTCTACTGCGCATGTCTCCTGCAGAAAGAGCGTCTGTCCTGCTGCAAGTCGTGAAATCTGCAGCTGAAAACGGTAATCGAGCAGCAGAAAGAAAGTTTGGTGTGAGCGAGAAACTTGTGAGGGACTGACGGAAAGCAGGGATGGAGAACACAGCTTCATGGCAACAGTGCAGGTGCGCCATGTAACTTTCCTGGAAGTCACTGGATGAATCGACAAAGCCTGAACTTCAGTGACACCGAAACCATCCTGTCAGGATTCAGAAAGACCGGAATAATTCTAACTGGAACTGATGCTGAGTCTGACGACAGCTACACAGAAGAGGAAGCGGTGCTCTGTTTACCTCCGGAGGTCACAGATTTGCTCAGAAGTGACACCGAGGATGAGGAATTCAGTGGATTTAGTGATTTGGAGTGAGATGGAGAGTTTGGTAAACTTGTTCTGTTGTTTATGTTATAGTTTATCTGAAAAACTGTTCATATGTGACGTTAACAGTCTGTTGTTCTCTCTTCTATTGTTATTACTAGAACTTGCCTTTCAAGATGAAATGTCGGTTCGTGGACTCTGATTTTATAAATAAATTTCCTCCAAAATGCGTGACTTATAGTCCGGTGCGACTTATATATGCTTTTTTCTCCTTCATTACACATTTTTTTGGCTGGTGCGGCTTATACTCTGGAGCAACTTATAGTCAGAAAAATACGGTATAACAATGGAAATTAATAATAAAAAGAGAACCTTTCAATATTTCACTGTAAAATAAAATAAAATGTCTCTTTCCATTCAGAGTGTCAGTTGTCACAATGACAAAGCTCATCTTGTGTCTTGTGTAAAATGGAGTAAATCGCCGTACCTGTGACCCTGGGCTCCACAGAGCTGACGTTGAGCAGCACCAGTCGGAGGAGCCCGGCCTCGGTGCATGTCTGGATGTTCCTCAGGCTCTTTCGGAGGACGTCTGCGACCTTGCTCCAGATCTCAGCCTGACACGTGACGTTACAGTGGGCCAGCAGCTCCACCATGCAGCCCACGCTCTCCACGTCCTGAATGAGGAAATTTGTGTCCTGGTTGAATTCACCACCGACCAACTGTGGAAACAAGAGAGAAGGAATATTATTAAACTCTGGATGCACTCTATTACACAGCATGATGTAACAAGATGAGCCGACAGCTGGAGCATTTATAACTGCATAGTAATTGAGAAAAATAATGCATGATATACAACCTCCATAAACAAGAGTGGACATAAAACAGATTATCAGGTCACTACAGATATCAAGATAATTAAGAATGTAAAGTAATTAAATGTAATGTGTACTGTATTTCTGATAGTAACTCTTTTCTGGTAGCACACGGTCTCCCATTCCTCTCTGTCTGACTACAAAAGCCTCCCCCACACTCATGACACTGGATCGGATACAGACTTCCAAATATCAGTTCAAACCAGGCACGTCCAAACTACGGCCCGTGGGCCAAATGCGGCCCTCGAACAAATTTTTCTTGGCCCTCAGGCTTCCAGGTGATTTAGTCCAAATTACCTTGCATCAATTAAAAACGAACTTTTTACAGCAAGTTCTTTGAAAATCTACTTTGATAAAGCCAATATTGAAGATTTAATGTGTGGTTTTGGGATTTTAGAGTGAATAAGAACTGATGTCTCATTCCAAAGTGTTAAACATGTATATATTTCAATTTTTCACTGTATTGCACTCCAGTCTAAGGCCCTCGATCAGCCCTCTGCTTCATCTGTGTCTAGAAATGTGGCCCTTGATAAAAAAAAGTTTGGACACCCCTGGTTCAGATGATATTATAGTTGGACGTGGATATTGATGTAAACAGAGTACCGTATTTTTCAGACTATAAGGCGCTCCGGATTATAAGGAGCAATATCAAAAATGTTGAATTCTCTCGTCTATTTTCATACATAAAGTGCACTGGATTATAAGAGAAACAAACGGACGACACTTGAGACTGATACTTTAGCCCAGACGTCCACGATCCATTGGCAGATCGTGGCGTAATTCCCTCAGTGTTGCCTCCCTGTCTTGGTGAATGTGTGTTATGAATGTGAATGTGGGTAGGTTGTTTTTTCTATTTTCTAGCCTTATTCATCAGCCGGTTTCACTTCGTAGAAACCGTCTGACCTTGCAGCATTAGGATTCGTTCGCTCGACGGTAGGCAGGCACTTTTTTTCAGTAAACCAATCGCTGCTATTTGGTGGTGACGTATGTAATGCGCTGCTAACGGGGCTAACTGGTATATTAAGCTTTTCCCAAATTCCATAGGAAGAAGGACAATAAGGTCTTTCTTAAATCCTTGATCTCTTGAATCGTTGCCAACACAGAATATATGTCTCTTCGCTGATTGTCTGGTGCCCGAACTCACACTTCCGGGGTTTTCGTGAACAGTCTAGTGTATTCTGATTCCTGACATAGTTGCTGGAGAGAAATTAAATTGAGCCAAGTGGTGCCAGACTATCTATTTCCTACGAGGACGATTCAAATATAAATTGAGTAATAATGTGTTTAATGCAGCTTTTTTGCACATTTGTTTACATTTTACAGAAACAAAACTTAAAACCACATGGCTCATTTGCATAAACTATAAGCACTGAAAAAAACTGTTCGCTCCTTGTGCACTGATGCGGTCAACTTTTGTCGGACTAAAGGACACGACTCAGTGGAACATATATGTTCTTTCTGTATCGTACTAAAGCAGTTTGACAGATTTTTGAGGGCCTTGTACCACATAAAAATGGATCGAGGTCAGTAAACACAACCAGAATTAATATATAAGGCGCACTGTTGATTTTTGAAGAAATTAAAGGATTTTAAGTGTCCCTTATAGTCTGAAAAATACGGTATTTATTGTTCATAGTTGTCCCATTGTTGTCTCTCAGTGTTTGATATTAAATGTTTATTTACACTGAGCTGTTTTGTAGTTACTTGAAGGATAAATAACAGCTACATAACATACTCTTTTCATACTCTAGTCTTATTTTATTTTTGTATAAAAAGCGATCAATGCTGTTATCAGTTTCTGCGGGTATTGGCAGATACTTAAAACGACAGTATCAATCAATTGATATTGGAACATAAAAAGCTGGATCGTCCATCCCTACTGTTGATGGGGGAGTTTGTCAATAAAATTCAGCTCTTTCATTAGGAAATATTATACAAGAGACAAGATTATATGGTTAAAGTTAGAACAGAACTGGAGTAATGTTTACATTCCCAGACCCAGTGCCTGTTGGACCATTGTTTCTTTTTCTCATTAGTCTTGTTCTTTGTTTTAAATGGACAGTATTTCTAGATGCAGTTTTCAGAGATCAAACCCACCAACCAGCGTCTGAAAAACCACCCAAAACCACCAAAATTACGCTGCAGCTGTAATTTCCACTGTATTTCTGATAACTCTCCTCTGATTGCACAAGGTCTCCTATTCCACTCTCTCTGCAAAAGTGTCTCCCAAACTGAGCTCTGGTGACTCTGGAGATGACAATTTGCTCAGGATTTTGATTAGGAAATACATAAGTAACACGTTTGTCTCAACATTCCTGGCTCCATCTTTTAGCTGAATGTCTCCGCTCACTCTCTAGTCTCTACCACCATCTCAAATTTAATCTGTGTTGTTCAATAAACACTCATTTAAGATCCACAATTGGTACTTTCAAGACTGCATTCTCTTAAACAACCACCAGAGGGCATTAAAAGTCAGTTTAACAATTAACCAAAACAACAAAATAGCTTAACAAATAAACATGGATGCGCCAACAGCAGTTTTTAGAAAGCATCTGTTGGAAAAGAGTCAAGAAAAATTAGGTGAGAAGTTGTGTCGTAGTACTCGAGACCGGTCTTGGTCTCAAGACCGGCCTCGAGACTATTTTTTACAATCTTTGTGTCGTTTCGGACTCGACTGCGCTTGGACTCGGTCTTGTCTCGGTCTTGAAGGCACTCGGTCTTGGTCTTGTCTCGGTCTTGAAGGCACTTGGACTCGGTCTTGTCTTGGTCTTGAAGGCACTCGGTCTCGGTCTTGTCTCAGACACTAGATGAGTGCCATCATATTTCATTACGGCTGCTGCTGTCGGCAGTTAACTTCTTATCACGACATGTTGTTGAAGTTTGCCAATAAAAGTGCACAAATGCATCTGTATTTGTCACAACGGCGTTTGGTAAATGTGCAGAGGCTAAATCTCACTGCAAAACCAGTAAGATAATGTAACTCCAGTTAGAAATGGAAAAAAACTGATTTAAAAACTCTACCCACTTTTTTCACTTTCTTTACAGTTTGCTGTAAAGTGCCAGTGGAAGTTCTCGTAAAGAAGAGGTTCTCAAAATGTGGGTGAGGGTCCAAGAAAGGAACATAATAGTTTGTCTTATTTTAGGCCTAAATTAACATTAATCAGATCAAATGGAGATAGATTTGTTTAAAAAAAAAAAAAAAACAAACATGGTATAAATCCAAAATATCATGGATTTATAAATATATATAAATAAGTGTAAATTACAAATAAATGTAGAAAATGACAAAGATGGTCTTGATTTGGTCTTGATCTCAGTCTTGTCTCGGTCTTGACCTTTAAAAGTCTTGGTCTTGTCTCGGTCTCAACTCTCAGAGGTCTTGGTCTTGTCTCAGTCTTGGGATCCTGTGGTCTCGGGCTGGTCTTGGTCTCTATTAGTGCGGTCTTGACTACAACAATAGTGAGAAGTATTTGCAGCTAGTCATTAAAAAAATTTTATGTCTGTTACTAAGATTTCTTACGTTCTATGGAGACGGATCAAAGTCTGAACAGAACAACGCAGAGGTCGGACAGAAGTGAGTGAGTCTAGAAAGTAGAGCATAAATGGGCCTTACACCCTGTGGGCTTAATTTTTTACACGTGTATTGATCAGAACAAATCAGATCTATAATGTACAGTGGATTGTGTGACTAATCCTGGTAGAACGACGCAGTGACTAACGCTCCTTAGAGAGAAACCACATCGGGACTGTTATTGACCCCTATTTTTGCTTTAGTATGCTTTAATATAACCTCGCTTCTTCTCAAAAAATGGATTAATTCTGACATCCCCAGTCACACGGCTGTATTTATTGGACGATTAAGTGCTACTGTGCCTTGGAGACCCTTTAGCAGAGTCAATATTGTACCCATTCAAGTGTAATCACAAATGGCCTTTCAAAGACATGTCGGAGTGGACAGAACATTGATCAGAACAGCTGGACAGTGTTAGGAAAGGCCAGTAGAAAATGAGCGTGGAAGTCAGAGAAGAAGCTCACTGAGGCGTAATGAACAGGTATGGACAAAATCAGACCAGTTTAAAGAATACATGAGCAAAATGTACTTTTTTGAGCTTTAAACCATGTTGCAACAAACTGGATAGTGCTGCTCGATTATGGAAAAAAATATTATTATCAATATTATTTTGGTTAATATTTAAATTACGATTATTCAAATGATTTTTTTTAGTTATAATATGCATTTATTCAGCATTTCTCTCTCTCAAAAAACACTTTATTAATAATTTATGCAAAACTTTCAAATTGAAAATAAAAATAGGCTACAAATCTGTACCTTAGAGCAGTTTCACGATGTATAAAACATAAAATAAATAAAATATACTTTGAACATGAAATAAAGCATAGAAAAACATAAATGTGTCCAAAATAAAAATGTATCCAGCTGTTCTACAATGCCTATATTTAAAAAATAAAATGAATATACTTATTTATATAAAAAAAAATCCCAAAATAAAATTGGTTAAGCTAAATAATTTCAACTCGATTATATGAGTTTGGAGATCGTTTGACATATAAATTGAAATCACGATTAAAATTCAATTAATTGCACAGGCTTAATACTGGAGTTGTATTTTTTTACTTCATTCACACTTGTTTCATATATTAATTCATCCAAAATTGTGTGTCTGAGCACTACAAAATGCTCAGTTCGCCATTTTGCCAGGGTTGTGATGTCATAGGTAAAAATCCACAAGTCTCCCATGCAGTGTTACATCACCGGACTCGTTCATCTTTCAAACACACGACTTTAGCATTGCATTCACCATTCATTGCAAAAGTTCTGACCTGTA